CCCCCCCCCCCCCCTCCCCAACACGCCGGGGTTGTAAACGGGACACGTTCTATACCAACCGCCGTACTCTCTCTCCCTCTCTGTGCAAGGTGGGAGCATGGCCCCTGAACGAACTATGGCCACCATGCGAAAAGCAGTCCACGGCTACCCGCCAGAGCCGAGACCCGCCAGAAGCCAAAAACGGGGAAAAAAAAAACAAAAAAAACGGGAGGGCCTGCTACTGGTACCTCTCTTCCGGGCCAGGCCAGGGGAGAAAGGGAGGTACCACTAGCCCAGGCCACCTCCCGTTTTTGCCAATTATTGAACCCGTAGGCCGTCGAACGCGTAGTCTACTGTTTTTCTTGCAGTTTCGAACTGGTCCTCGCCCAAACTTGCAGTGGACTGTTATTCCTGCAAATTCGGAACTGTGCAGCGGTCACCCGCGGAGTTATTTCAAAAAAAAAAAAAAAAGAGGACCGTGTCCAGTTCTAGAAGTTAAGGGCGGAGAGGATGGGCCGTCCTATACTATAGAGATCCCATCACACCTCCACACCTACCCTGTGTTTCACGCATCAAAGTTGCTGGATCTCCCGATATGGTTAGAGCCTACGAAATAGAGGACCGTGGCCAGGCTCTATTTCTATTCTGTGCTGGATCTCCCGATATAGTTAGAGCCTACGAAATAGAGGACTGTGGCCGCGGCACTACTCCTGTCTGGTCTAGAGACAGCTCCCGATATAGTTAGAGCCTACGAAAGAGATCAGAGAGGTAAAGGTCCTGCCTTAGACTGAGTTATTCTCGGAGGACCTCGAATTTAGGCCAGCGGGAGTGAAACGGTATTCACCAGTTCGCAGTAGCTGATGGAGATCCCAGGGCTCGATCCCTAGCCCCCCAGCTTTCCTGTGTACAGTACCTGTGTCGACCCTTAGAGTTGAACCCGTGACCTGTGTATTTGTAATAGTGGTAGACTGTCGTAGGGTCTAGAGGTCGCCAGGGTTCTATCTGTAGACCTGTCGAGTAGGAGTCTTAGTCAGGTCTAGAAGTTGTAGCTGTAGCTTTCCCGAAAGGTCAAGGTAGTAGCTGCTACAGTCCAGAAGGGTCAAAGTCGTAGCTGCTACAGTCACGAAAGGCCAAGTCTACGGCCTTCCGGAAGGTCCCAGTAGTGGCCTTTCGAAGTTGCCCACGTTTAGACTGAGGCAAGTGGGCAAGTGACAAGGCAAGTGGTCAAGTGGTGGAGTCTACCCGTGCTGAGTCAGCAGTCCCAGTCCCCAGTTAGTCCTGGTCCAGTCAAGCAAGTACCGCATGGGACTGTGTGCACTTCGGGCATGGGAAAGGGCCAGACCAACGAGCTGCAGAAGTATAAATCAAGAGGCAGCACCCAGCCATTCGTCCATTCCTGCGTGAGCCATGCAGAAGCACTGCCACAGCGACTTGTGCAAGGTGGTCTGCAGCAAGCCCGAAGACGAAGTGGGCAGAGAGAGACGAAGCTTAGCCATAGTGATAGGGTAGCGGCGGCCATAGCCGCCATAGCTGTAGTTGGAGTTCAGTGTGTGAGTGTGTGAGAGTGAGCAGAGTATCGCGGGTGGGATATCCAGGGTGGTCCAGTGTATGCGAACAGAGAGTTGTGCGGGCGTTGTGATGCCATAGCCATTTGAAGTGAACTCGTATCTGAGTTGCATTCTTTGTTGCCATATCTCTAAGTTCTGTGTGGGCGCATGTCGCCAGTTTGCTGCGCTACGTATAAAGTGTGAATGAAAGCAAGTCTGATTGCATTTCTGAATTGGGACCCTCTGGTCACCAGGGCCCGCCCCTGTGATTAAACCACCACTACCCTTCCCAGCTATCAAGTCCGACTCTCCTGCTACTGGTACGCCGAGCCTTGCCAAGCCTCGATCTGGAGGCTACGGGTAGCAGGACAGTCGTGGCTTCTGAAAGCAAAAAAAGGAGCAAAAAAGAAAATATGAAAATAAAAGTAAAGAATGAGATACTGAAAACAAAAAACAAAAAAACATGAAAAAAGGAGAACAACCAAAAGCTCAGTTGGTAAGGCTCGCAAGTGGCGTTCAGGAGGTCATGGGTTCAATCCCCATTGGCCAGGCTTACTTGGCACCCGCTACCCAAGAGATAGACCACTGGATCCCCCAATCGGCATCAAGCAGAGTCTGCTATGTTYGTAGGGGAGGGGCCTGAGGGGAGGCACAGGGGATTGGTCCGCTTTATCCCTGGTGCTACAGGCCGTCCCCTGGCCGGTATCCTGCAGGCTCGAGGGGCAGTAAAAACACGGCTCTGGTATGCTACGAGTTTCCCCGTATGCCTATACGTAGGAGTAGTGGTAGGTAGGTAGTGTGAGAAAAAATTGAGAGAAGAGTATAGTTTTATTAAAAAAAAAAAAAGAAACCCTAGGGAGACTTATGATCATTTATCAGGTTAAAAAAAAAAAAAAAAAAAAGAAACCCTACAGAGACTTATGATCATTTATCAGCTTAAAAAAAGAAAAAGAAAAAACAAGAAAGGGTAGAGTGAGAGAGAGCATCCCGAGAATGCATCTTCCTGCATGCTGAAGGAAGATGCATTCTGGGGGAGAGGGGGGGGGGGGAGGGGGAAGAGAGAAGGAAAGAGAGTGAGAGAGAGTGTGTCCCGCCACACTGTCCTGAGAGCCCCAACGGACTCCCCGGGCAGATTCTCTCTCTCTCTCTCTCTCTCTCTCTCTCTCTCTCTCTCTCTCTGCCTTGTGGTCGTTTTTTCGTTGTCGATTTTTTGTTTTTCCCCCTTTTCCGTTGTTGTTTTTTACTTCTTCGCTATCGGACGGTGCTCTCGGTCTTTCCCTGCACCGACCCCCAGGAGCTTATTTGTTTTCCAAGCAGGAAAAGGTACTGGTGGCTTTTTGTTTGCCTCATTGAACTCTGTGCAAGACGTACCTGCCAGTGCTTGTCATTTATGCCCATTTGATACTTCATCGTGAAGAAAACCTGCATAAAGGCATACTCGCACTAGCACAACGCTCTCACATTTAGCACAAAACAGAACAGACACGACCGTGGCCAGTAAGGCAGATTCCAGTTCACCCGTGTGGCGCAATCACACAAGGTGAGGCACAAAAAGTGGGAAGAAATCACTGGAAAAAAAAAACAAGTCGTGCGGGTGCCCACACAGTCACACAATGTGAGGAACAAAACGTGGGAAGAAAAATCACAGGGGGAAAAAAGAAGGTATTTTGGGCACCTGCGGGCACCTCCAGAGGTGCCTGCCTGCAAACTACGTATACCCGTGCCTCCGAAGGCGGATAACATATATATGTACCCAGATACGTGAATTTGCTAAGTATGGCAACTGTGTCACTCTGTGTGACCCTAAATGGTACTCAAATTTTACCCAAGAGCCTAGCTCAGTGGGTACAACCTTGAACTGTTAAAGTACACACCCTTGATGAGTAAAACTAATTAAAAAAAAAAAAAAAAAAAAAAAAAAAAAAAAAAAAAAAAAAAAAAAAAAAAAAAAGTTACTCAAATTTCGGCATTTTGCGATTTCTCGCTAGTGTAAGCGCATGCTCACACTGCAGTAGCACATCCGCATGATCTCAGAAAAATAGTATGCCCTAACTCATTTTTTCCCCCCAAGAGTAGAACAGCTATACGTCGGCCTCCAAGTGCTTGGCATTTGTGAAGCATGTATGTCTGTCTAAGAGGCCTTTTCGCTGTTCTGCACATAGAACCCGTCGGTCTCTGAGTGTTTGTCCTGCGGCACTCAGGCCAGTACCGACGGGTCCTACGCTTGTCAACGTCAAAAAGATCGGCATATCTCTTACAGAACTCTTGAATCAGGGTTAGGGTTAGGGCTTCGCAGCACTACTCTCGAAATGTGCAAAACGAGAGTGAATCTTCCAGTAGAATATGGAAAGATACACAGCCATGATTTTTGTCTTTTGTGCATTTCAAGAGTAGTGCAGCGACGCCCTTATTGTTGTATTGAAACGCTTGTATCTGCCACGAAACATCAGTTCGCGGGTATATCCCTTTTCCGGATTATAAAGACAAGTATCCGGTTACGATTGAGAGCTTGAAGCAGACTTAGGGCCTCGCTGCACTACTCTCGAAATGCACAACAGACAAAAATCATGGCGGTGTATCTTTCCATATTCTAGGCGAAGATTCACTCTCGTTTTGCACATATCGAGCGATGTGCAGCGAGGCCCTTATTCGTGATTGCTGCATGAAAGCGATGTATGATGAGGCAATAGCTGACGACAGCGACGAGTGACGCCCATCTTCCAATTCCGGCAAACGACAGAGGAAGCTGGCACTGAGGCCTACATTCACCAACTTCATAGCCGGGAGGGACGGCGGTGTTGCCCCTTTGCGTCGGGACAGGAGAAAGGGGGAAGGGTTACATACGGGCTACTGGGGGGGCATCGAACCGCTTGATAGATGCCTATTTGGCACAGACGAATATGGAGCCTGGAGCGCATCTGCGCTAGATCGAAACCTAGAGAGAGAGAGAGAGAGAGAGAGAGAGAGAGAGAGAGAGAGAGAGAGAGAGAGAGAGAG